ATTGAAACTGAAATAAGTTGCGGTAAACAGAATTATGCTCAGCACAGAAAAGAGTACAAGAATGTTACCATTCAAAATGTCCAAAGTCATATACTAACTGCTCTTCTCTCATTTTAGATCAGTACTTGTTTTCTTCTAAGCAATATTATCTGCTTATAGCTGCTCCATGAACTCAGTGGTCCTACTTCTATCCCTGTGAGGGGTGCCTGGGCCTCTGACCCTATGGGCAAACAATTATGTCATATCCTGCCATGCCCCAGGATCCACGCTCACATTTTCTTCACTTTGGAAAATGTCATGTTCAGGAAGGAGGTACGTGGAAACATGGAACATGACTTGAAGTGCATTACCTCGAAATTATCGCTGGGCCCAGGGGGGCCAGCCTAAACTCCTTTCTGTGCCTCACTGATGACTGACCATTGGGTATCTCACTGACTGAATATCACGTGTATGACTTAGACTAGCCTGTGACCCGTTTTAGGAGGCTTGCCTATTTATGTCGTGTATAGGAACTACAACACGTGCTTGTTTCATGTACTGTCATGATACATCATGGAGGGAATAGTTTACGCATGCAACCGCGATTCAACTTTTTGTTCATGTCCATCACGTTACCAATTAGCATATTTGGGAAACAGTTTTACCATTCTGAATCAATTAAATATCATTTGATTTGGTGCACTGTAAGACCATCTTTACTAGATTTACCTTGTCTCGTTTTCTTCTATTCGTTTGTGCTCACAAGTTTCGTCATATCTAAAATGATGCACTCAATGCGGGACAGAGAGACGTCAATACCTCACAGTCACACAGGGGTGCATATGTTCCCCAATACCTAGCCTATGTTCCCCAACTCTAGCCCTAACCCTAACCCTAAGGATGTTGGGGAAAGTATTGGCGAACATTTGTATTGGGGAAAATCGTGTAGACCGCTCACACAGCATCTTTCGTATACACAAACAAGGACGGACTCCTCAGGATTTCGAATGAAAACACGCAGTGTATCGATTGCACGATATTAGGAGAGTACGAGGCTTCACATACTGGAATACTACATCTCGTCTCGTATCCGCGGGCATAATAATACATGACAAGGTCTCTGCCTAATGGATACGGGAAGGGTTCCGATTAAACTCAAATGGCAAACGGACCCCAAGCCCCATGTTTTCTTTATGTTGTCCTGCGCCTAATCACTGAACCTATAGACGTCAACTAATTTACTGACACAATCCTGCATGCACTTAGTCCATCCAAACACACGATCTGAAAGGAAAGAAATTCAGGCCCTATACGTTTTTAGGAGTAGGTTATACCGAGCCAGTCGTAGTATTTTTGTATTGACAAACACTATGCGTTATCCATATTGAACAACTTGTCCAATAATCTGGTTAGAATTTATTTCGTCATTTAACAAAAAATAAAGTCGTTGGATTTTGCACGACGTGATATTCATCATTTCAAAAACCATGTTCTGCAAAATTCACTACAACTTCGTCAATGTCAGTTTTCCACATTGTGTTCAACTTAACCCAGCATTAGGCAAATCCTAATATCGTCTTCAATCCAAACAATCCAGGTGTTAAGAAAATCATTCAAATTCTCATTCTTCGTCCGCACCATGCTAATACGGAACAGGCTCCAACTGGAAGCAGTAATAGCACCATCACTTGCAGCTTTTCAGGCAGTGCCAGTGGCCCTTCCGGCGGTGAGAGACATGCGTCCCACCACCACCCACCAGCAACTCTAAGAAGTGAGGATGTTTTTACCTGCACCTGTGTCTACTGCACCTGCACAACTGTGCAACTTGAGTCACCTCGACTTCTCCTTGGACAAGCAGCACTGCTTCCCATAGGAGTCTACACATCAAGCATCAAACGACATCACTTGTCGTTTAACTGAATTGCAACACAAACTCACGACATTGAACATGAAATCACGAGGTCAAATTAGTTGTCACGACATTGGCACTTTCCCACGATATCACTAACTTCTTCAACATCGCGAAAACATGACCAAAAATCACGATTCACAAAAGAAATGCACGGAATTGCTATCAAAGTGCAATGCATTTAGGTAACGTGAATACATTACCAAAAATCTTTACGGTGCGATTTCATCAAAGAACTTCGCAATGTCGTCAAAGAAATTCGTTGTTGTAAATGACATTCCCCTCAAGCCCCTCACTGACCACCGTAGCTATTGACATTGAACTCGGGCTATAGTATTATTTCCAACTACAGAATATAATACTATAAGAGGAGTATTACACTTCAAAAGATGCATGCAGTGTTTATATCAACACCATTAGCACCGTCATCTATATTGATCCACTTGGCAAATACGGCTCAACATACACATTTTACACTGTGCTAATTTAACATCACGGTTTCTTTCTTTTTTCGATACAGCAAAATGAAAACAATCAATTGTTGGTTTTAAACCTTTCGTCCTTAGGCCTCCATGTTCCTCCTGAAAACTTCCGCTTCCCGTACTTCAAGGAAACTTGGCAACGCTAAAAAAAGTTCGACATTGAATGGGTTGGTATTTGTCCAATGTTGGTCAACATAATAACATGGACCTATCCGTTTAGTAGCTCCATGCTACTGCCGACACTCTTGGGCAAATTTTTCCCAATAGTTGGTTACTTTTTACCTGAATTACTCTTTACCCGAATTAACCAACAATGAGGTTACTTCATTCTAATGTTGAGCAAATGTTACCCAACTTTTTTTTTTACAGTGAATCTATACTAGCAGAAAATTTCGCCGATATGCTTGTGGAATTTTGGCTTGTGCGCATATACATCGCGGAGGTTATAGCGCAGAATTTCTGGCTAATAAGCACGGGAAATGGTTAGTCTATGGAATAGCCACTTGCAAAGCAATCGTCTATTGAGCAGATTCGGCGATTAATATTATGCAAAACAAGACTCCGTCTTGACCTCCAGATTCTGACCATGCAGCGGGCGCCTTCTATCGGGTCTTCGATAACAAGTTGTTGTATTACATAACATGGCGGATAACTGACCAATCAACAGCTTAGGTCTAATTTCTGCTCGAAATGACGCCACAATTTCTAAATTTGACTCCGATTGGCTGGCTCGCGAGGTCACGAACGTCGGATCCGCAGACTAGGAAATGGTGTTCAGAGTAAAATACGCGGTTAACAGCAGAGCCAGAATTGTGTCAAGATTCAAGAAGGTTATTATAAGGTTATTAATTTCTTTTGAGTATTGATGACACAGCAGCAGTGATTAGACAGACGGGTGCTATAGTCCCCAGGCATCTATGATTCATGCACTGATATACACCCAAACAAACTTGGCTTGATATCGCCATCTTTATGGTTGTAAATTAAGTGACGTTTCTTCTCGCGAGGGGAATCCCCGAGGTATTTTGTTTTTCTGGCATTGGAAATCTCAGAAGGCTAATTTAATTTACGACGGCTTAAACGGGAACAAATTCACTCAAAATCGGAGGCAATTTTGTCTCCTGTTGAATTTCAGATCGTTTGCAGATAGCAATTTGGTAAATTCAAACACGGGAATCTGCGACTAGACTGGTCAGTGTTTAGCAAGACGTTCACATAACAAGTGAAGGTGGACTGGCGAGACTATACACGCTCAGAGCCACGCGAACTATAATTGTACCTTTGCCCAAGTTTTCTATTTAAGGAACAAGTTAATTGTACTTTATGCAACTGTGACCAAAAGAACTGGTTCCCCTGTTAAAGACCTGTAATCACTTTAGACTTTGACAGTTGAAATCGGGTTTTCCTGTTCGGTAAGTCCCTGGTTTGGTTTGAATAATATTGCCCTTTTGCTTCTGTTTTTGTTTCGAATCTTGAGCAGTGCATGTGTCATAAGCTGAAAGGCCAGCACCCCTGTTCGGTTATTTTTAAGGTGGCCGTTTCCTTCCACGGAAGACTATAATACAAATCAGTGGGCAAAGTGTAGAGTCTGTTATCAGACGGTGAAATAAAGGTCAGACTTTTGACATTTGCCCGATATTTACCGAAAACGGATGGGCTCGGTCATGGTCATAGTAAGGAATAATAATTCTTTAGCAGGTTTGTGTGTTTGATTCCGCCTCTGTGTGACCAATGGCGGCCGTGTGTCCTCTTTGCACTTTTTTCACTGACTGACTTGCTCCGAGTCTCACAACCACTAGTCTCGTGAGAGCTGGGCAGTGCTATCGTATAGGAGTACATGTATTACACTGTAACGCCAATGAATGGGCTACATCTGTTCCGTTGTATACAGCTGATGTATGAAAAGAAGCTTCCAGTGAAAAGCCATTCCGATTCAATCATGAACAGAATTCTGTGCACTCTGTGACCAGCTCTATACTATGCCTGCCTTGCCTCGTTATTTCTAGTAATTTGTTATGTACGTGGGGCCCCAAACGGAAACCACTTTTTAAATATTTCATCAAAACCTTCAAACATTCGTACAGGTATGCACAACCAAAAATAATCCAAGACAGAACATGATATGTTATTAAATATAGCTTCTTTTTTTTATCTTTTCACCGGAGCCGTAAAATATCCCCATTTATATGCACGGATATGACTGATGACATATAATTATAAGCCTTTCGTTCGAAACTGCGGACATGTTAAATAATGTTGTAATCCTACAGGTAACGGAAAGGTCATGGCTTAATTGCAATTAGATTCACCTGCCCCTTACTCGCGCCATTATCAGTTTATTATAATGGCATTCAAGCGTCCATTTTGAGATTTTGTCTTTGACTGTGAGCAGTATTATAACGCGTAACGATCTGCATTATTAATCAGCCGTATTCGGGTTAATTTATGCATCGCAGATTGCGTTGTTTTTAGCATTTTGAGCCGCGCCTGGTGATCCGTTTATCATATAGGTGGTTTAAACCGGCTTTGCCAAAACAGCACAAAAAATACCTGAATCCCAAGGCCAAGACCAGCCGGTTTCTGAAAATCCCCCTCTTCATATTCGGTTCCCACAAATTGTCATGACTTACCTTGAGTACTGTAGAAATGGCCATCCCTCTTAAGCTTGAAGCAAAATGCCGGTGTCGTTTACGTACGCCCCCGCCAGCCATACGCCTACCCGAGGCGGCAGGGTCCACCATGATGATCGACCAATGCCGGGGAAATATTAAACAGATGTCGTACGCATTATTACTAGGCATTGCAACACATGGGATTTCTAGACGAGCACAACATCATTATGATGATTTCAAATTAGACGGGATCCAAGCTGTGATTGGGTCCTGTTACCGGCTAATCGAACGGCCTGATGATTTGCGTCGTCGGGTTACCGCTCCTGTCTGGAAAATGAAATGAAAAGCGTTTCAGTGACTGCGCAGATAGGTCGCTTCATTTCGTATGCGTGAGAAATCAGCAAGTGCATGCGTGTATGATGTGTATGCGACGCGCCTCAGTTCACGGGCCGCTAATTGAGACGGACGCTAGGGACGGGAGACGGGGGCCGGGTACGGTACGAATGACTGTACATTTTATTGAGAGCATTAACTTCAACCCAGGCAGGTTTTACCTTTTTTTCCCCCAAGTACCTCGATGTCCCCTCATGGGATACTCATAATAATTCAAGGCCAAGGTTGTCATTGTTGAGTGTTCTCACTTTTGTCGAAATTGGAGTGAGCAGGTTCACGACTGGCAGTTTATGGACATTTTGCCCAAAACATTTACACGAAGTGCAGTTGTCAAAAAATAGATCTTCGGTGAAAAGTTTCGAGAACATGGAAATCTAATTTTAAGAGCGGTCGAGTCCATGAACCTGTTTGGTAAATTATCAACATTTTATTTGGAAATATATCTGAAATCAATGCAATTTGAAATATTTTGAGAAGTATGCAACCATTTTGATTATTGTACTTTCCTTCTATAACGGATTTCAATAAATTATTCCTTTGAAATGCGCATTCAGTAGTTTTTATTCTTATTTATATTCAAATGTCATTAAAATATCCGGGAGCCATGTTTAGCAACTGCACTCATTTTGATCACGATTTGGCTAACTGCAAAGTATCTGGACAGAAAGAAATGCTTTATGTATTTTCCAGCTCCCCCGTCACCTGCAAATCTTGCTAACATTCCGCGGACACTAGCTGATTAAAGGGAATATACAACATTTGCAAACATCGAAAAATAAAACTACCAAGTTTTTGCGAAATACCTTAACACGATGTTGGTAAATGACAGTCTAAAGCATCCTGTAAAATTATGGCACCTGGTATACTGTCATTTTCAAGAAAAGTGGTATTTTTGTATCAATTTCCAACGCTGATCGGCCGATCAGCGTTGGAAACAACTGGCTTTTTTTCAAATACTGGCCCCAATTGACCATTGCACTTGTTTGTAATCGATTACAAACCTATGAACGGGTACGAGCCAGCTAGACTGGTTCCCTGACCTTACAATTCCCCAATGTATGTAAACTGCTCTGTTTCTTCTTATATGGAGTCAGGGAACCAGACTACAGGAAAATGATCGTTTTTCTTGGTTTTTATAGCATTTTCGAACCCAAAACCTCCGAAAAGTCAGTGTAACTATATTCGCTTTATATTTCCAACCCCCCAATTCCATCCATTTCTGAAAATAACAGCAAAAGCAAATGATATATATTCCCTTTAAGCAAAGTGTTTTCCCGACTGACTGAAATGATTTTACCAGATAAGATAAGATCGTGCGACTGCCTCAGTAAAAGCCCATTTCATATAAATATATATAATTTTATAAACGTATGTAACTTACCCACCATGTTGCTGCAACATTTCCAGTTGCTTTTTCAGTTATATTAATGATCAATATATCGACTTTGTAAATGTGAAAGGTTTTCACGTTGTTCGTGGCGCCAGTTATACGTTATCTTGGTCAAAGAGTAACCAGCTTTAACTGAAACCTTCGAAGCAACGTTGCTATTGCAAAGCGCCATTAATATTGACCAAAATAGCACTGCTAATTTTGCTGCAGCCTATAGGCTGTATACAGGCCTATCAAGTTTTATCAGCGGCTCTTCGTGTGGCCGTATCGTGACGCTTTAATTGCTGCAGATAAAGTGCGGAAAGTAGCATTTCCTGCATAACAGAAAGCACGAAACAGCTGATGCCTTGAGGCGATAGATTTGATAACTTGACGTACATAATTCCCACCTTTTCACCTATAGATGTAGTTCCGCGTTGAATACTATAAGCACCTATTTAGGTCCACTCACCTGCAAGGCAAAAGTATCATCTCCAATACAAGTCCCGCGCTTTCTGACTGTCCGCGTAAAAAGATGCGATCCAGCCAATGTTATGAACGCCCTTTAATCGTAAGACTTTAATCCCGGTGACGAATCAGCCTTGTCCATGCAATATAAAACGGCCTGGAGTTTGAACAAAAATTGTCAGCCTGAGCGAGTGTGGTTGGCGAGTTCAACAGCCGCTGTTGGAACCATCAACTCGCACTCGTAGTGATGCTGCACTGATCCGTGTCAGTGCAGGACGGGCAACTGAAGCAGAAAGACTCAGTGAACGTGCATGTCCATCATAATCACAGAACCCCTCGTATAGTATTCATTGTCAAAAGTGAAACAATAGCAATATGTAATCCGGAGGCCAGGAAGCGGAAATTCTCTGCACTATATCCTGTGTAGTGATACAGATATCCTGATCAAGAAGCTATTATTAAGACCGTCAATGTAGCATGTCATAATCGTGACTAAGTAATAAGTCTGCTTTAAGAGCTTTGGAGTGGACTGTAGGCGATGTGTACTATTTGGATCCAGGAATCTTTGCGGGGGGGGGGGGGTCAGGCCAGTCGGATTATTGCGGACAAGCAGACATAGGTAATTATTATTACTTATAATTGTTTATATTTTTTGTGCAGCTGGGGTCCCCTCTGGATCCGCGCCTGACTGTGCAAGTTATTGAAAAAAACAAAAACATGTTTCAAGTTAGTATTACCCACACGGTCACACCCGCACATCCCCTTTCCCTTCAATCTGATCTTATCCCCTCCCCCCCCCCAAAAAAACACTCTTGAACACTGAACTTTAATGACATTCACTGGACAGCAATTCCCGGTAGAATTATTCTCTCAACTTTAACATTAACAATGCACTATAGGAGCACGGGGGTAGGTCTGAATTGGCCTTTTGGTTTCCAAGTAGGATTCACGCAGACCTACAATTTGCTCAGAGCTTTGATTCTGGGTCTCAGTTTGTGGGTCTTTTTTTTTTTGGGGGGGGGGCATTTTTAGTGACATGCTCAAATTATCTTGCCTCACTGGATAATGAGTGCTAGCGGACACCTCTCCGTTGACAGTTTTTCTTTTCTTTCTTTTCTTTTTGTAATAAAGAAAAGACGATACTCCCTCCATCCCACCATTTTTAGTTTTCAGGAACCTGTTGGGGAAAGTACCATGATTTTGCAACCCTTCCCACATCAAAACCTGTATAGCTGACCGTATATAAACAATGACGGTATATTGTTTTCGTAAAGCCATATCCAAGAGCGCGCGCTTATGACTGCGCTAATCTCTTTCACTAAGTTTTGTCAAGGAAACGTAATGAATTGTGGGTATATAGTTTACCTCCATGACCCGGAAGTGTTTACCCTGGGTCAACATGCAGTTATACCATGGAGTGTTTTATTTCTCCATGGTTATACTGAATCTATCCAATGAGATCTCGCGAATGTTGGAAGTCACCAGCTCCCTTCGATTCGAGCAAGCTATGGAGTGCACAAAATGTCAGATCACTACCACCTTGGCCTTGCACTCGACCCCGACCCTTCACCCTTGACATTAATGCCATCCCAGACAGTCAGGTTTAAACGCAAGTGAACAACATCTTATAATAACAGGTTAATGAAAGTCATTTTATTGTCAAAGGTTTCTCACTCGGTATCAATGCCAAGGTTTATAGGGCAAATCGGAAAGTGATACGGGAAGTGAAGCTAGACGCATGGGAGTCGCCAGGATTTTTTCTAGAGGGGGGCAAAACGGTTTTTTTGCCAAAAATGCTTGCATTTCTCAACATATTCTCGATTTATCAGTTTTAGAGGGGGGCAGGGACATGTTGCGCCCCCCCCCCCCCCCCCCAACTCATTAAATTTACACCACTTTGTCTTCGCGCCTCTTTTTCTTTTCTTTTTTCTCTTTTTTTCTTCTTCTTCTTCCTCCTTTTTTTTTTTTTTTTGCTTTTCCGGGGGGTGCCCCCCCCCCCTTGCCCCCTCCTCGCTACGCCCATGGCTAGACGTCGCATTCTCAATGTTCAATCATGTCTGGACGTACGATGCAAAACCGGTTGATCACACGGCTAAATATTCTTTTATTATGCGTCTTGTTAATTCATGATCACTATTTTGCGGAGTACAGTTTAAGCGATCTGTTCATTGTAAAAAAATGATTCTGTGCAGGGCGCCCTCAAGAATGAGATGTTTGGGTTTTTCGAAACCTCGGCTTCGTTGCGGTTCGGCTCATATCTTGCTCCAGAATCATGTTGTAAAAACCCTTAAAGTCTTAGGCCTAATGTTTATACACTCTTTAAACTGTGGCCTCATACACATGGGAATGGTATTTCCATAAAAAACAATTAGCATAACCTAGATTGAGCCGGGATGGCCCAAAGTCAAGGGTTCAAAATCTGGTCCTGAAGCCGAAGGTAAGGTGAAGTCGGACTTTGCAAATTAAACAATAACAAGGCTACATGCAGTCATTCTGTTGACTCCTTCCGAGTCCAAACTTGAGCGATGATCTTCAGATGAAGCACAGTGTCCTAAATAACAGCATAGCTCTTTCTCCCCGGCCCCCCGCGTATGGTAACCAGGAAGACCGTATGAGTAATGGTTCCGCAGCCGGGAACTAAAATAAATAGCACAGGCCTTTCACTCCAAGCAAATTAACCCACATTTTTATTTGTTAGACGCAAGAGACATTTTGCCTTGCCACGTAGTGGACGGAAAACGAAATCCATTCTGTTGTTTATTTGCGAACTTAAGTGCGAAGCCGTCAACTTCAAATTTGTGAATGATTTCTATTTTGTGTAACTCCTTTTTCCGTAATCAAAATCATCGTTTGTCGCGTGTCTGTTATATTATTGCTTTACAATGTTGGAATTATGTCTGATGCAAGAACTTAAATTTACCCAACGAGTCGGTTAATTTGGGATTTATGTTAACCACATATACTAGGTGGTTAAACAAGGCCGCCATGAGTTGTGAGGATCTTGACACAATTTGGAATGGAATCGCCGACTGTTACCATGACATTGTTTTGTCTCCGTCACCGCCACCATCATCGTTACCATAGCAACATCATTCTGATTGGTGCTCAATGCTGTTCATTAAGTCGAAGCGCCTCATTAATTACGAGAAACTACAATATTAATAAGACACATCATGTCAGCGACATCTACGTCAGGATTGCCATGGCAACCGGTTAAAGTGAATTGCTCTCGAATATGGACTTAGTGCTAAGCCGACGGGACCTTTTCCTCTGTAGAATTCGTCCACTAAAAATTTAGGAAAACAATTATTTTATACCGCACACCGAACGGACATTTTGAACCCCAACAAGAAGACGCCCTCTATTGAAATGTCCATCAAACTAAAAAAAATAAATAAACAGTTTAATATGTTATGTGAAAGAAATTTCTATCTGCTCCAAAAACAAAACTGTTCAGAGGACACAAGTACTTTTCTAAACAAAATTCAGTTGTTGTTAGGGCGCGCGCGCCAATATACAGGTCATCCAATCAATTGACCTTATTCACGAAGAAGCCATTTTTGATCGTGTTCCCTGAATCTATTAATTCTATTTTATAAACTGTAAACTGTTGAATGGGATGGTGCCAGACTATTTTGTGATTGGAGTGCGTGCCAAGCTTCACTGTCATCTTTTTTTTAAATGTGGCTTAAAACGTTATGGTCTGATTAATCACAAATTACTGTGTACTGGTATTAATTTGTAATGAATTTTTACTTATTTGCTTTCATTTTCACTCGCAAGTTCCTACAATAAAGAGTTTACCTCGCTTTCAATTTAATATGGCCGGCTCGTGAATAGTGGCGTAACTGGGGTCCAATTCGTGAGGGGAAACTATAGGGGGCCTCCGTTTCCTGGAGGGTACACTCTATGCGCTTTTAACAATACAAAGCTCAGTTTCGCCTTCCCGAAGTTCTGAGTGAGGGGAAGGGATGGGGCTCGAGGCGGTACGGACCGTTCCCTTTCCCTCAGCCCCTCTCTCCCGTCAGGTTTGTCACGTCTCCTTTCTATATCAGCTTGGACTTGTAGATATAGACCCTACCATACCGGTAGAAACTGTTGGAGACATCAAATGCAGCCGTTTGTTTGTTGTTTGTTCAGTATACATCGTACATGTGTTTAAGGAACAGCGCCCAAAGTGTCAAATGTTGGGGCCAAATTCCCTCTTCGAGCCCGAATACTAATACAATGTGGGTCTTATTCTCCGCTCGGCATGAAATCACCTTAATTTTTATGTTTTGGATTGTTGACTTATCCCTAGGCTGTTTCAAAGTTCTTGTTGAAAGGAAACTTACCTAATGTCTTATATACCGTTCCAGAAAAAAAGACGGGGGGGGGGCGGTCGTTTACTTCTGACGCGGCGGACATTTGCGGCATATACGCATACGTGTTTCCGGCCGTGTCCATTCAATGGACGGCACACGAGGTGTGTGCGACACATAATGCTCATAGCACCAAACACAAAATGTTGTTTCTCACACGTCCGTAGAATGCGATGCACTGTGCGGCAGGATTCACAACTAGCACAACAGCTCAATTTTTGAGAGTCAAAATTTTGACCGCCGAAATTCGTTCTTACATGGTTCTCGCAAGAATAACACAAAAACACCAAGTTTTAAAAGCCTTTATTTTTAAATGCTCTTTCTAAGTAAATATCATTTCGTTTAAAACACGTTTTATATATGCCCACTGGGGCGCATTCCAGGACGGGATAGGCCTACCCCTTTAACGATTGAGGGCGCTCACGCGAAGGGTAGTATCAACAGACTTGTAATCCAATGTTATTGGCGTAAGTTTATGATTTTCCTGCAATTCGAAACTTACATTCAAACAATATTTGGTATTAAAATGTAAGTTAATATACTAAGCTATTTTAAATGAAAGGTTTTTTCTTCTAGTTTTTGTACCCGTGTCCTTATTCGATCAAAAAAATATCTGGAGCCAAACATGAGCTATCCGTCAGAGAGTTATCTCAAAACTATACCTTTCCTGTTTCGAACGCATATTGCAATGCATTGTCGAGAAAAGAGGCAGCTACGGATTGAATACCACAACAAGTTTGACATAATATCGGAATTAAATTAAGTCAAGATTACTTTTCATTCTTCAGCCCCTAAAAAAAAGATCAGTTCATCTAACCACAGAAAAGATTTGCAACCTTTTAAGAGGGTACGCATATTCCGTGTCGACATTCTATCAGTAAAAGGTCCTTATTGATTTCCGTGCTGATTTTTTTTTTTTTTACACTGGAAGAGCCATCAAAATACCTTGAATGCGTCGTCGACATGAGTCAAATGATACGACCACGTTACCATCATATACGAGGAAGACACACGAGGCAAGGAACTTATTCAATGATTTTGATTGAGAAAAGTACGCTACATTGTCAAATTCTACATTGCCATGAATAAGTGACAATCGGGTTTTAAACACAATCAAATAGCCATGACAAGGCGCCGAAAATACATAATTTATCTAGATGTATACCTGTCGTCATGGTAACAAGTATCAATAATATTCGCTTATTTTTGTTGCCAAGTCAACCGCAAATAAAGATAGACGGTGGATAAGCCTTTAGGAAGCCTCACAGATGGAGACAAATTTCAAACTAGAAAGCCTTAGTGCTGTCTGATTAAAGTGTAATGTCCAACGTCATACAAAAAGGCTTAGCGTGCGCTTAAAGCATCAGCTTGTCCGCTTATTTTGACCTTCATCCATATGCATTTCTTTTGTTTGTAAACGCTGGGCACCATTTTGTGTGGGCTGTCACAAGGGTATACATTTAAACCGTGGTTGCCAACAAATGTTGCCCAAATTTGGATATTAATACCCTCTTCATGTAAGAAAGAGGCATTTAAAAAAAATTAAGTCTGTGGTAGCGTTGGTTAGGCTTAGTTATTATATTTTTTCAACAATCCAATGATATGTTTGGAAGCATTAATATCTATTCTTTATTTTTGCAACGTTGACCTTCCATAGTTTGCCAACCCGTGCTTGGCAAAAAAGCGCCGACCAAAGAAAGTTCTCAGGAATTAGAAATGTTAAAAGTGATGGACATCACTATGCAAAACTGAAAAATGAAAGTTTGGCCAAAATACTTGAGTGATAAGTTAAAAATAGGATCATGCATTTTCGAGAAAAAAAGGAATTACATGTAGCGTCATTTCCTCGCGATGGTTAGGACCGACCCATAATGAGCTTTCAACAGAAACATGTAATGCTTTGCGTCGAGAACATACATTTTCACAATTTTTCAAAAATTGTACTCGGCGGAAATTTCATCAGGTTACTATTTTATTAACCTGGCTCAGATTTATTGTATTGGTTTTCCTTGAGTCGGTAAAAAAAAAAATACATTTTTTATTTGCAAAATGGTGTCGATTACCTTTAAACACATCGCAGAGAGACATACCGACTTAAAGTAAAGAAGATTACCTGTTCAAAAGAAAGCCTTCGGCATCTGCATAGAAATAATGCAACTGGAGAAGTTGAAATCACAAATTTGCACTTCACTGAATTTTTTGTTTATAATGCAAGATCAGTATATATTCGTAATTCCCATTTACAAATTACATTTCTCCTATTTGTACAAAATGAAGAAAAAAAACCGTGTGTAGAATTATTTTACATCATAATAATATCTGCATTTTTTTAATCTGTACAATACAACATCGAAATTATTAATTATTAATTAGGGTGGCATGGGTGGCTTGTGCGTAAAGCGGTGGCCTCTCACCAAGGTGACCACGGTTCGAATCCTGGCCGCGGATCACATGTGAGTAGAGTTGTGCGTTGGTTCTCTCCTGTGCCACGAGGGTTTTCTCCGGGCCCTCTGGTTTTCCTCCCTCCGGAAAAATCAAACACTTTCGATCTCAGGCTGTGCTCCGTGGTCATATATGGGTCGATGTGGCTGGCAGCCATAGGCGCCTTTAGCGGCCCGACCACGTTGTAGCCGCGTCCTTCGCAATTCAGCATACCAGCTGCGAGTAAGGATGATTAGCCTCCCAAATTATTATTATATTATTATTGAATTATAGTTTAGAAAGAATTAAATTCTGTGTATTAATAGAAAATTACCCCTTATACAAATAACGGACTGGGAAATGTATCATTTATTCAAATGACCCAAAGCAGTTATCACATAAACTTCCTGTAACCTATACACCTTTCTTTTGCTCACTAACATTGTGTATGGGCGGCCGCCATTTTTTTTTCTTTTTTTTTTGGCATAAATTTCATCCGTCGTTGGCAATATCTTTTTGCTCAAAATATAGGACATTCATTCATACGGGAGTATTTTCATCATACTTTTTTTTTGGTAGTGTTTTTTTTATAATTGAGAGGTTTTTTTTACAAACATTGATTGGTTTACAAACTTTACAAACACTAATTTGTGAATTCTTTGTGTAGGCCTATTATTTTTCCAATGGTGGGCGCCCATAGTTTAGGGCCTACCAACCAACCACCTCTTGGTAAATACACCAAATGCGACGTGGAAAAAAGAAATGTGTACAGATGGACACAAAATGTCGACACGTCCCACACGCGGTGATCCACAGCCATTCCATATCAATGCACACGTCTCCAACTCACTATCGGTCAAAATGAACCCTAGACAATTTGTTGTATCGTGATTTACAGTCTAGCCGGTCACATTGTTGCCCTCACTGGTATTTGTATTGTGTGTGATTCATGCTAAATAATTAAACTTCGCAACAAGTGAGTCGAGTTTCCTAATGTAGTGTTTAGACGTTAATGACCTTTAATTTGGAAACCCCCAAAAATAAGACCTTACTTTAAATTCCCAGTACCGACATCGAAAAATGGATTTATGGAAAGCAAAGGCCACCATGGCTGAGAAAAATTATCTTAGCAGAATGCTCCAGAAAATATGACGAGTGAGTAACAAGAAGGCGCCTAGTTTATTCCCTAATTTCACACACCCATTTTCAAAAATGGACATACACTTATGCACACGTTACATATACAAGTGCGCTATGTTGGATAAGATAAATTTTGTTAAGGAGCAGAGACAAAAATTACAAACGGCCAATTTCAGTTCACCTTTTTCCAGACATAGATTTCAAAGACTCGTTTTGCGAGTCACCAACAATCCGCAAAAGCATGCCTGGAAAGTTTTCGCATTTTACGTTATTCTAAAACTTCAGAAGAAATACGCTTTTATATACTGGCAGAACCTCAGGTATCACAAGACGCTGACGAATAAGAACATTATTCTAGATTGGCTACACCTGTCATTGTAGGTAAGCCTATATTCCGTTGCTTTGTATAACACACAGGGTGGATGGCTCAGTTGGTAGAGCGGCGGTCATCTGGAAGTCGAAAATTGCTGAAATTGTTCAGTTAAACGAGGATCAAGGGAAGATCGAACAATAAAATTAATAATTTATACATATATATTACGCAAATTCCATAAGCATAATTATGATCAAATGCGCATCTCAATTATTATCCCTGTTCGTCAGGAATGAGACCCTGCAGCAGCTCGAGATCCGAACAATATGGTCTCTACCTTCACAGATGGGTTACAATCAAACAGAGTAGTATCTGGAGTATTTTGATAGAGCGTTTGATCTTTAATTGGTCGTATGTGAGAGACCAAAGAGCCATTTCTCGAATGGAGTAGCAGAAATATGCTGGACCAGACAATCTACGATTAGGTCCATGCCTGTTGGGTACACGAGGGTCCAACGGCTTCTGTCTGAAACTCGCTCTCGAACATGATGGCCGGGTTGGTGTTAGGATGCAGCTGCCTCTCTAGTCGCACGAGGGCGCTCCGGAAGCCGGCCGATATAGTGGTCTCTGGCCGTCTCTTCTTGACCAGACTGTAGGCCTGTTTGAGGGTCATCCCGTTGTGCTGCATGAGATACTGGGTCACGATGGTGGGCGAGAGAGATCGCCCGCCGAAACAGTAGACCAGGCATTTACGGTCCATTTTCCGAGCGCCTTCTATGAAGGCATTGATCTCGTCGAAGTAATGGATGATATCCTCGTTGACTGTGTCGTCCACCAGGAGGTTGAGTCGGATGCGAGTGTGCTTCATCTGAGAAGGGCAGACGCAAGGGCAGTCCTTGAGACGGATGGACTTGGAGATCTCATCAGGGGAAAGGTTGCTGAGATCCACCACACACTCGATGTTGAGTCGGCACAGGAGGGGTTCTCGGAAGGCTGCCTCGGCGTCACCGACGAAAAGGAAGCTGAGAATCTCTGAGATGTTCTTGTCTCGGAACGGCGTGGAGCTCTGCGGCAGCTCATCAATTTTGATTTCAGGTATCACCTTGGAGATGTCCAGCTCCTCGTCGCAAGACATCTCGGAGGAGGAGCGGCAGGAGGAAATAGAGGATGTCTTGCGGGATAGCACTTCCCTCCCCTGGCACGGGGATGTCTTAGTTGAGTGTGAATGCTGGTACCGCGAGTAGCCGTCCGCTCGAGGGCTTCGCCGGCCTTCGCTCAGGGACGCCGTGAGGTGGAGCTTACGGTGGATCTCTCCAGCAGCGCAAGGCTCGGTCTTGACAAACAGAAGGTCTGGACAGGAGGATGCGTAGCCACTAGACGTCTTACCTGTTCCTGCTCCCGTGGAGGAGGTAGTCGGATCTGTCTGGACCACTCCAAAAGACGTCTGGGGAGACATGGAGGAAGAGGTGCTCCTTTGGTAAGCTACGGTGGTTGTCGTTGCTGCTGTCGCCACGGTGCTGTTGGACCTGGTGCGGTCCGCCATGCCGACTGCAGTTTGATCGTTATGAAGCAGTGTTTTCATCATTCTGCAATTGTAATTACGGGAAATATGTAATTAATCTCCGGTTCTTATGGCAATCTACTGTTCCTTGCAAAGATCGTAGACAAGATTTTGCGCATGATAATATAGTTAAAGATTAAACTATTTCAGGCACGTGCATTTCAGTTCACACTGTGAAACATTTTCGATTAAATTCGTCTGCAACTTATTTTGCCTGATGAGCAAACACTTTGAACTTATTGATGAACTCAAGTGATCCTAAAAGTGAGCTCAGCACTTCTTTTTTTTGGCAAATTTACTGGCAAGCATATTACCCACTCTGGGTCTTAATTTCAACTTTGGCTATGTAGCCAATCATGAGCATCCCACAACACAAGCTGCTTAATTCTGCTCAAAGCCGTAGGCCTAATCTTTGTGATTTTGAAATGTCGTGACTGCCTTGAGAATGTTTTGAGTCAAAATGGTTCCGGAAAATGTTTGAGTGGGGGGGGGGGGGCGGGAGGAGGTATAGTCTGAGTATCCCCCGTTGTCCAACGGAGCCCTCTCCGTATATCCAAGTCCAACGTCTGATATTACGTTAGGAATGCAAATTTCAGTGCGACTTCGGAAATTGTGAGGTCGTTTCGATCAGAAAATGTGGACTAAGCTGTTGATTGGTCGATATGCCTGAGTTTTTTTTTAAATACAACAACGGGTAACGGAAGACCCGATAAAAGGCGGCCGCTGAATGGTCAGATTCTCGAGGTCTTGACGCAGTCTTGTTTTGCATAATTATTCGTAAGGATCTATTCCATATATATGAATATATATAGGGGGTGGTTCTAATGGGAAATATGGTTTCGTTCTGGTTACCTAATGACATATTTGGGCTGACCGAACCAATGTGTTGTCAATAGAAAAATAATGCTTCAAAGAAAAATGTCATTAACAGAGATCGACTCGGAAATATGTAATCTTTGCATATAGGATTAGTCAGGCTTTTCTCTCAGTAATACAAGGACAGTTTCCCCGTCAACATTCGCCAGCCGGAGGGCCCTGACTGTCGACATTTCCGGTGGAATACGCCACAAAATCATTTGCTGTTCTTCACTGTCAAATATTCACGAGTGTGTATAGACTTTGATCTCGAGAGCAATTTGACTAGAGCACGATCGTGAATATCCACTGATGCACTTAGCACACCACCACTCCCACCCCCCCCCCCCCTCCCCCCCCCCCCAAAAAAAAGACATCATGGCTTTAATATTTAGAACACCAATGCGATGCCCTCTGTATCAATTTTGCGTTTCCAGACGCAAGCTTTATCCCCCGAGCGCTGATTCAGCGTGTCCCGAGACGTGGCTGATGTGTTTTTTGTTCCGCAAGAGATTGCTTAATTGCGTTTACTCTTTGGTTAATCATTGCTGAGCAAGAAGTGCTTACATGTTGTGTTCCAGTCCAATCGGGAGTGTTCTCCTATCTCTGAAATCTGTCTCCTGAGTCGGGTTGTCAGACGGTGCGGGCTAAAATATGATGGATTGGGCGTTGGTTGCCATAGCAATGACACGGGATGCGCTCAGGAATGAGGCTTTCTGGCTTCACGGAACAGCCGCCTGATTTGCTCTGGCCAGCCGTGCGTGCTATCAACATAACCCGTGCATAAAATGTCACTCTCCTCTAATGACCGTCTATATTGCCGAATCAACAAGGCGTATACATCGTGATGGTCTAATGGTTATATGACTTTATGGCGGTGAAAGACAATGGGCGTTTTATGTTGACTGATTGTGTGTTTAATGATCATTTCTTTGTTTAAGAGTACAACCAATGTTCAAAGGTGCACACAAATTGTAGACATTGCAACAAGACAAAGTATATCTGCTCACTGTTTTGAAACGGTATAAAAAAAACCTACATTTTGTATATACATGAATGTCAAAGCATAAAAAAATGGGAGTTGGAAAGTTATGTTACTAAATTTTTCTTGGGTCCCTTCCGGAAAACTCCCTGGTCTTGCATCAACGGAATGTAAAATCATTATTCGTTTTTCTCTGAAAAAAAGTACCCTAATATTTATCACACTACTGCGAGCTTACTTCCAGATACGGTCATTCTAGCCTAATTGGTTGGGTTTGTTTATCGAGTGTTTGGATACGATAATTTACAACACTTATATAGTATATTTGAAAATAGTCGAGTACTTTATAAGGTGTCGTTTGTTTGACAAAAGCAAGGTATAAGAACGGCGGGCAAAGCGTACTGTCCGAAACGTTGTGTTACCCCCGGTTCTTTGAAAAACCCACAAACTCACAAAAGAGACCATGGTGGAACCATAAACTTCATCTCATTGTTATCTTTACCATGAAAACCTTCACATCTTATATCTAAAGAATGCTTATACCGATTCTTTCACATGGAACCATGATAATCTCCCTTCCTATCATCTATGAAGAATACAAAGCAGAGAAACATCAGAGTAGTGCATTATTTTGTGAGATGTTGCTCAAGAAAGTTGATGCAATTATTCTTTAAGTTGATGTATGATGCTGATTGCGAGAAGTTGTTGTGTTTTTGTTTTTACTTTTTTTCTGTTCACGCCACAGAAATTATAAGGTTTCTTCGTCCGCTGGGAAATCATATTCCGTTCATAATGGGCCACCTCGCCTTTGGGTTTTTTCCTTGATGAATTCAGCCTGCCAAATTGGAACTCGACATTAACTAATGATTCTTACAGCCACCTGTGTGCGATTCGGACCCGATAAACACATTTCAGACTTATATGCTGTGTTTACGCGTTTCCGTTTCCATCTTGGATGTCAAATGTTAGCCCCCCCCCCCCCCGCCCCGCCCCGATTACTGATTTTCCCTGCCGTAAGAGCTACATCTTTAGAGAGTAATCTGGCAATGCATTGTGCATGTGTACATCAAAGTAGGTCTTCCTTTCCTACGGTTCCCGTGGACAGGTTGAGGGCGTAGAGGTTGACCAGATTGTCTTTTGGTTTTCTCAGCGCATGTCCAAGCCATTTAAGCTGCCGTTGGTAAATGGTGATGGAGAGGGGCTGTCGTCCTGTTATTTCATAGATTTCATCATTACTGATGTGGTATCTCCACCTGATCTTCAAAATGATATACGGAAGCAGTTTGTAGCAAAGCTATCGATGTAAGCTTCAAGGTGTTTGGTCACTGCCTGCGATTCACAGGCATACATGAGGATGGCGAGGCATGAAGTTTGGAAGATCTTGAGTTTGAGGTCAAGATGAATTGTTTCCAGATTTTTTACAAGCTTCCAGAATGCTGCCCAGGCTAATGCTCTTCTACGGCGTACATCGCTTTCTGTTGATGCCATCATTGAACCCAGGTACTGGATTCACCATCCAGGGTACGATCTCCTGGGCAAGAAGGATCAAATGACATAACTTCTGTCTCTGTTTATACGGAAGCCCACGATCTTTGCAGCATCAATATGACATTTGTACACTATGTGAGTGATTTAGCCCGTTCATTGGCGATAAATATGGGCTAATACGATAGCACGGCAAGGCTGACATGTAACAGTCGTCAGTTAAGAAAAAAAGACGACTATACAGAGTGTGCCAAAAAAATAGTGCAACATTCAAAAAACAAGTTATTAAAACTGTTAAATGTTTTTTCTTCAATGAAATTATATATTACATTAAAGCCTGACTATTTCCCAGTACACTCTTTTTTACCCCATTCCATTTGGGTCCATAGATCCAGACATACAATCAATTAAGTGGAAGGGTGTAAATGTTACTTGGGCCACTCTCGGCTGGACATGCTGAATCTGGGTTAAGCACTAAATAGGCATTGAAGTTGGTGACATCACAGGTGCGTGGCCCAAGCAAAATTTACACCCTTTCACTTAATTGATTGTTTTTCTGGATCTAGGGACCGATATGGAATGGGGTAAAAAGGAGTGGATTGAGAAATAGTCAGGCTGTAATGTAATATTTAGTTTTTCAATTTTAATTATTTATTTTCTGAATGTTGCACTTGTTTGGCACACTCTGTAAGGCTGACTCTCTTTAGGACCAGCACAAAACGAACATAGACTGAACAAACGTACATTTTCAACACCATGAGATCACTGTTCAACACGGATTTAGACTGCTGATTGTTTCCCGACTGGGAGCAAGAGGGAACATGCAGAAGGACACTTGGCTTTCTCCGTTGCAACTTCAATTTATGACCAATCAATAAAACGCCGCCAATTCTCGCAGCCACGCTGAGGGAAAGTCGGTGCGGATCTAATCAAATATTCAGACCGTGAGCGTGAAACCGAAACACCATTCTATATAGCTGGTGGCAAAAGCTGCGCCTATTCATTGCTTTGGTCCGCATCATACATAATTATGCACGAGCATGCCTACAACCTATCGGTTTAAATGACGTACATGTGTTCTGACTGATAGGTCCTAATGATCTCGGTTCGGAATAATATGGTGGCCCTGCTTTGAAAGCATGTGATATACTCTACATACCTACGGAGTTGACAAACTTGGAAACCGTGAAAAATTTGGAGCCCGCTGTAAATGTTTCCGGGTTTTTTTTGTTTCTCCATAAAAGGAATTTCGAGGGGTTTACGTCCTTCCCGTTATCAATGCATTCTGTTTGCCTCAATTTGGGTTTTAAATAACATGAACAGTGTCCCTTGTGTTCGCTGCATCAAATTAATTAGTGGTTTTTTTCGATAGTGTACTATAGGTTTTCCCAGCTATTTTAACACTTTTATCACACAAATTCCCTATATCATTACTTTAATTTCGTCCCTGATCATCGCCCAGCTCACATCTCAAATTGAATTTCAAAAAGTCACCACTAGATTTCATTTAAGGTTCAGTAAAATTCAAATTTTTAGCATACCGATTCGTCCAAAATCTCTGAAATTCGTCTCGTGAAGCAATCGGCGTTGAATTGACAAAGCAAATTCGTTTTTTTTGTCATTCATTTTCATGTTGTTATCATTACATTTCGTTTCTGGTTACTTAAAACGTAACGATTAAAAATGTGCCCAATCTTTGGACT